AGGGTGAACAACATAATGATTCTGCTTTGTCAACGATACTTTAGAATTTTCATGAAAAATGATACTTAAGATTGTCTTTCCCCCGATAAAGAACGTTTCATTGAATTGATATATCAAGGTGATACAACCACATCAGAAGAATGTCCGGTCTCTGCCTAGCATGATGCACACAGCCAACAAGTCCAACACAACCAAAAATAAACATCATTTTATAGCAAAATAAATCAATCTGGCCTATGGTATGGTAGATCCTATCCGAAGATTACACCCCCATTTATGGAGAGAGAAAATCTTCCTGGTCGTATGCTTCAGCCGTGTACTTAAGATTGATATATGATTGTGATCGTGCATGGGCAAGTAAGATAGACCCTCATATTTATATCATTCAAATTTTGGACAACAAACAAACAATTATATATATGGTCATTTACCCACGGATCCAACTGCTTATTATACAAAGTAATTTCATCGGACATTTTGTGCAATATAGATGATAGCGTGAAAATGTGATACTAAGGAGAGAATGGAAGACTTTGTTCATAAAGTCAAGGGTTCTTCGCAAACATAATGTGTCAATAAAAATTAGATTAATGGATAGCATTTTTGGAGACCTTGATTGATTCTTTTGGGGATCTCCGGTCCAGTGTACATCGAGTCATTGATAGTCGTTGTAGCAACATCTTTGACATCTTGGTCAAATTTGAGTAAGAGCATTTACACCTGGGAGTCACAAACCAGTCTGAAACGATCGGACGGACCGGGCACGACTTTTTGATTCAGACGGACGTCTAAAACGGGCCTCAAACTTCTAAGCTGACCAGCAACCCTCATATCCAGCCTAAAAATTGGGCGAATATGGGGTGGCCAGGGCATATTCGGGCGCGTCCGCCTGACAAGCACGGCCCACCACCGATCCCATGGTTGTCCCACAAAAAATCCCATCCTGCTCATCGCTTTGAAACCCTATCTCACTCGCACTCTCCTCTCCCGCTCCATCCTCTCCTCTCCCCGCTCTGATTCCGATCGAACCCGATGCAATGTCGAGCTCCGACAGCCGCTCCGCCTACGAGATGGATCTGGACTATGAGCTTGCCCTCTGCATCGCCTTGGAGCGGTCCAAGGTGGATACCGAGGGCAGCTTCGGATCTGCAACCTTGCCGCAGATGCAGCTTCCCCGCCAGCGCAACATGAACATCAACGTTGACCCCTCCCGGCCCATGCGCAGTTCCGACAGGCGGGGGGTGCTTGTGCCCGCCCCGCCAGCTCGGACGCACACACCGGAATCAGAAGCACGCGCCACCCTCCACGAGAGGCAGCAGGAAAGGGAGAGGAAGGAGGCAAACACTACTGGAATCAGCTTTTTGCCGTCCGCCATGGCAGATGGCAAAAGCATATATCCCGGACGGCAAACACCTTTGACATCTGCCAGCAGACGGCAAAATGTCCGTCTGAACAGGTGCCAGCAAAGGCATTCTTTGCCGTCCGCTTCCTAGAAACGGACGGCAAAGGATTGTGTCGTCCGCCATCTGAGGCCAGCAGACGGCAAAGACAACGGACGGCAGTGGGGTGGCTCAGAGCCGTTAGGAGGTTAACGGCGCTCTTTGTCGTCCGCCGGCGGACGGCACTGAGTCGAAGCTCTTTGTCGTCTGCTGACGGATGGCAAAGAGCTCAGTTAGGCCAGCACTGAGAAGCTGCCAC